CACTAGGGAAGACCATCAAGAACACAGTTTGTATGTATATATTTATCATGAGTGATGTTGATTCCTGTTGGTATTTAAGTCCAAAACGTATTTTACCTGCAAATATTCGTTTTCAACTAGGCTTTGATGAATTATCTTTCAATGCTTCTGCAACCATTTTCTTATCGAAAGCATTACGAAGGATTGCTTCGCTGTTGAAGGTTAACGCATCACCGTCACAAATTAAAAAAATTGCCGAGAATTCCAATGGTTGGTATCTAAGTGTGCTTTATTATACTTGTCTTGATTAATAACATTTATCAGTTGATCTAACTGGATTCAAATTTGAAATAGGTTACAACGTACAAATATTGCACTTTATATTCAGGTTTTCGTTTTGCGTAAGGTCCTTTTATAAAATTGAAACTTTTTATTGAAGGATATTTTATTTAAGATGTAAATTTTTTTTTTTTTCAGTAGATTTTTAGTACTTTATGTTCAATTTTCGACATTTCTTTGCCTTCTCATCTCTAATTTTTTCTCTCTGTAATTAAGCAGTAAATATAGTTGCATGCAACCGGTTTATGTATGTATTTCACTGCAGGTGACATAAGAACAGCAATTCACAATCTGCAGTTATGTATCGATGGTCGCAAAAAATTTAATGAAATCTGTCCTCTTCACTCCTCAACATTAGTTGATCCATATCATAGTTTAGGAAAGCTTCTTTATGCGAAAAGGTATTTCTGTAAAATTCTCTTTCACATAATATTTAGTCTTTTGGAGTTTTCTTGAGAGATGCAGAAATGCGGCTGGAATAAAGCCTAAGGAAAGTTAAAAATTGAATTACGAAAAACTCTGCAGAAGTTGGAAAGGTCAGCAGGTATTGTTAAAAACATTAAGATTTCGTCTTATTAAGGGATTAGTGTAGTCGTACTTGTACTGCCATCTTTGCTTTAATTGATGGTTGCAAAAAATTGTTCAAGTTTAATACATGAAGGTGTGACAAAGCTGATAGCGACTGGAAGAAAGCTGAAGGAAAGTTGAAAATTGCATTAAGAAAAATTTACTCCAGAGATTTTCCTCCCAAGGATGATGTCAGTGAAGTGCTTGACAAAAGTGGTATGAATGCTGATAAGGTTACTGACTTATAGATTTTCATTTAAAGGCATTTGAATATTGATATGTGTCCTATTTTAATTTTTTAAGGTAATTTGGGAACATTTCTTTTTGAGGAAGTCAAGTGGTTAATTTTAATAAACTTCAATTTTCAAGTATTTTGTAGCTGGTGATGTTCTTGCATGAACATGAGCCGAATTTTGCTCCATCTTTGTCATCATATTTGGGCATTCTCAATAATATAAGTCTTTTCGATTCAGCGCTTAGTCGTTGGGAAGTTCGAATGGATTCTGTCCTAAGCTCTTATATAGGCGAAGTAGGTGTAATTCATTTACGAATTCTTAATTTCTGAGGTTTCTATTTTTAAATCACATTTGAATCAGGTATACTAGTTTCAAATTCAGAAAATTTTGCAGAATAGAGCGGTCTTTCTAAAAATGAACTTCTAAATTCGCATTTAACCCTAAAAAACATCAATAGTTAGTCTGTTGTTTGATATTCTGTTATGAAGCAGAAAAATTGTAGCAAGGAAAAGTAAAAAGTTACTAATTTCATTGTTAACGAAGTAATTGGTTTTACTTCAGGTAGCAGCTCGATCTACCATTTTTTATAATTTCGGATGCAGGACTAGGCAAGGTGAGATTCCAGATCAATTTGCAAATAGTGTTGATTCTTTCAATAAAAGTTCAAAGTAGAGAAAAATACAAACTGCTTTGCTAATTCAGCTTTGAGTTCCTCTCACTGACTCACGTTTCATTCTCTAAGTTCTCAAGAACTGAAATTTCTGATTATTAAACGTATTCTGTTGTAGGTAGAGGATTGTATCGCTTTTATAAACCCCATTGTTTTGAAAATGGTTTTCAAGCATTCAGTAAAGAAAAAGAAATTTATGCTGCTTTTCCTCCACATATCTATGGAGAGGTTTTAACTCTGTAAGAAATCTTTTTCATATTCTCAAAAAATGGATCTTGTCCATGGCTTTGCATAAAAATTTATATGATTTTAAATATTTCAACTTTATCAGAAATAATTTTCAATGAAAAATTTATAAATTCTTGTTCCATATTGTTATATTCAAAAATTTGCTGTTTAATAATTTGGAATGATTTTCAATGAAAAATAAGTTGCCATTATTAATCTGATGAAGAGATGAGTTTTGGGTTCTTAGTGAAAAGAAAGAGAGTTACAGATGATTGCAGGACACTTCCATTAATTAGACTTATACAACCACGAAGGCTGAATAATTATCAGTATCAAGTGCTTGTATCAATGAATTCTGCACTATGTACGAATTTTACTGTAAATCAGTCTCCAGCAAATAAGAATTCTGTAACAGATGATGAAGAAAATCAGTTTGATATTGAAGAAATTGATCTTTCATAATTTTTCTCTTTCCCTTGCATTAGAATCAATTTCCATTGTTCTTACTTCATACTTGTTATTATTTTATAGATGCCTCCATATTTCATATATGTCATAGTAGTAAGATGATAAAATGAAGAAATCAAAGCCTATTATGGACAATAATAGAGCATTTTCAGTTGATTAGAATCCATAAGAAAAATCACTGATGTAAAACTTTGAAACTTGAAATGCGCTTGGCTAGATTATCAAATAGATAACAATCAGTTCTATCAAGTATTTCACCGCAATGTTACTTACTTTATTATAAACTCATCAAATTCATACATGTCATCTGTTCGCATCAGTAAAAGAACAAAAATGTGATTGGGAGTTTCATACGTCTAATTTGTCCCTTTTCTACGTATCTTACCCACTTCCCTGTATAACTTTGTAAAGTTTTCCAAGGTGTTTAACTTTCCGCAGATTCATCTTTTTTCATATATATAAGTTAATATGCTTGGAATTTTCACAGAAGACTCTCAAAAAGAAACATCAGGAAAGAATGAACTAATTGAAAATAAACATATAAATCAAACTCATATTCAACAAGCACTATCAGTTTAATAAAATATTAGATCCAAGAAGTTACACAACATTTCAAAAGAAAAAGCAACTTCAATTTCAGAAAAATCGATTCAAGGGAAAGACAAAGTTTTTTTTCTTCTTTTTGTCATTTATGAATTCGCATATGATTCATTCACTGTAAGTCATTTATTGCTACATATAAGTTGCAATTATTAGATTTCAATTTTTTTGAATAAAATGAAAATTTTATTAGAATAAATTAGAATTGCCAGACACAGCTTATTGTGCTCATGAAAGCTGAAAAATTCACGAAGCTAAAAAATTGTAATTATTTGTGTATAGAAATGTTAAAGGGATCAAATTGGTGAATAATTTTAAAGGGGTCGTCAACAAGTCGAGAGGGTAAATATGTTTTGCAGGTACGCTTTGATTGCAACGTTGACCAAAAAAGAAAAAGAAAATCATGTAAAACTACAGTAATATGTTCGTTTAGTCAGTAAAAGAAGCTGTTCGAAAGATGGAATTTACTGCCAAAAGAGGAGAAGCCTTAAAATTTAAAAAAAAAAATCAATGAACGGAGTACGAAGATATTCGAGATAGTCGATTTGACTGCAATTTAACAATTGAACATTTCAACATAAAAGCAACAACTCAATAGAAAGATGGATAGTGAAGTCTGTTACCACAATTTAACATTTATTTATATTTGTTTTTTTCCTAATATAAACCTTAAAATTTTACAATATCATAAAAAAAAAAGATAGACAGATAAAGGTATTTCAGTGTTAGTGGAATTACAACAACAAACTGTTGAATCTTCTACTACTTTAGCTAAAGAAAGTATTTATTTGAAAACTGAAGATCAGTTCTCATCTAAATTAAATTTGAAGTAGGAAAAATTTCAAAAACCAAAAATCATTTGAACTAATGATCCATATGTTTATTTGATTGTTCAAATGGTTCATTTATTCACATATTTTGTTAAATTAGTTTTCAATTACGAATCTATTTATTTTAAACTGACTGAATTTTTAATTGCACAAATTAATAACTGACTGATAATTCATGTCGTAACATAAATTTTTGTCGAAATAACCAGGAAGTTACTAAATACTATCATCATGTTTTATTTGCAAAGCTGTACAAATTTTTCTACAAGTTAGCATTATTGAAATTATGGTGGCAAAATTTTAATTATATTGAAAAAAAGAAAATGTGATATGAAATTCACACAAAAAAATGTGATACTAAATTGATACCAAATTCATACAAAAATTGAAACCAAATTCATAAAAAAATGTGATACCAAGCATTTTAAATCAAATGAAATAAACTTTGAGCAGCTGCATGATTCATAAATAAGTTCATTTTATTTTTGGTCATTTCGTTTATTGACCATCTCTCGAAATTCATGTCTATTTGTTTAATTTAGCATATAGGTACGATGCAGTTGTCATAATAATAGCAGCAGAAGAAATAATGTCGAGAAAGTCAAACATTACAGTCAATCAATCACTCAGATCATTCATTCAATAATAATGAATTAGTAAAAGAGGAAGGAAGGAGGTGGAGACTTCTCGATTTTCTCGATTAAATTTTGTCGAATGATCGATCCTACGATCTCTTCAATCAACATTACCTGAGTTATAAAGTTTGCATCACAAACAAGGTGACGCTTTCACATCTTTTAGTAAACTGTGTATCACAATTCATCAACATCACTCTGAAATTTGATTTTAATCTCACTCTTTTCTCGACTGTTCCTACTATTACTATCACATTGCTTTTTGTTTTTGTTTAATTAATTTCTTCCCCTTAATATTATATCCATTTCTAAAGCTATCCTTATGTATCAATACAAAAATTTCAATAAAAGCAGACAGCATTTTAGACTTCAAACCATTAATTTTTATTTTTGCAGGAAATTTACGAAATTTCATAGACAGTTTCACAGATTATTAATATTGCAAAAAATGTCTTTCCCACACTCACGAGCACATTCTGAACTCTTTTCGGCATCTCAGTACGATGGACCAATCATTAAGCGATCACGCATACAACTTAATTACTTTATCATTCCAACTTTTATATTATCAATTGTTGGCTTGGCATGTTTATGGACATTATGGTACTACATGAGGTAATTTTCTATAATTTTTATCAATCATTTTTTATAATCATAAAAATGAGTATGCCTTTGTTACCTGTTGTATTAATATGTATATTTTTTATTATTTTTGAAAATAGCTCAATTAATGTAAACATCTCTTATCATTTGCGCATTTTCACTACATAACGACAATTCAGTCAAAAAAAAAAAAAGTATTATTTATGATAGAATTTAGTAATAATTAATTTTACTCTTAGAGAATTTCAGTTTTACGACAGTTTTCCCCTATCATCATCGAGTATTCCAGTGTCGTGACATCCTTTTATACAGACCAAATTTTCATTCAGAGGATTTCAATCTGTATGTGTCATATGCGCTCCTTCATGCATTTGGTTTTACATTACCTCCACTTGTTGTATGTTTTGCATTTCAACTTTATATCATTTTATTTATTTTTTCCTAACAGTGGCGCAATTGTTAGCTTAGTAAACACTTACCAGTCAATCACCTTGTTAACTAAATTCTAGATGAACTATTTACTTCTTCACCTCATGTATGTAAATTGTTTTGTTATTCTTGGATCGTTATCATTTTTTAATGATTTAGGCCACAAATCAATTGCTGATTTTTTTGAGTTACTTTTGGCTTGCTATTTTTATTTTACTCTTATCTAAGTTTATATTTTTTTGTATTATAGATATTCATCGGTGAAATAATGTTTTGGCTATTCTCCACTAAACCAAGAAAGACAGTTTACGCTAGTTGTGGCGAATGTAAAATCCATTTATTAACTCGACGTCTTACACGATTTATTGGTCAGTTCATCGCAATAATTCAAATTAACTTTATAAACAAGCTTTTTATTAACTTAATAAAGTTAGAAAAAATTTCTGTGAAATTTCATTACTCTAACTGTTACTGAATTAGAACAATGAAAGATGCTGTAAGATATGATAAAAAGCATTGGCAACTTATTGCAAGAATTTCTTTAAATCAGTCATGATTATTACATTTAAAAATCAATAAAAATTAGAATTTGAAGATTGTTTCAATCATAGATTTATTTTATAATTATTTTGAATTCTAAACATGTCCAAAAAATTAATTATAAATCCAATTCGTATTAATTTTTTTTAATATTATAACATTTTTTTTTTTTTTAATTCTAAACATGTCCATTTTTTATAATTATTTTTAATTCTAAACATGTCCAAAAATCGTAATTATAGAATAACCAATTCGTATTAAAAATTTGAAACTTACAAACATTTGAAAAATTAGCTTTATATTGAAATAATTTGATTGTTGAATTGAAAAGAAGGACTATAATTTGAAATTTTTTGATGACCTTACTTGCAGGTGTGTTCATGTTTGGTGCACTTATAACACAAATATTTGTTTATACGATCAAATTTATGACTGGTTATCAACGGCCATATTTTTTGTCTCTTTGTAGACCAAACATAAGGTTTTCTCAATTGTCGCATTTTCTTCAGATGTAGACTATTTCCTTGCTTTAGTTTGTTTACCTTTGTGAAAGTTTGTGTTTAAGAGGAAAACGAATATATAAAGTCCTTCAGTAATGGAATCTCTTGTAAACATTTCGTTATTCAATCAGAATGGAATTTTTATAATATTATTTTTAAGTGATTATTGCTATAGAATGAAATCTGTAATATTAAGATAGCTACTTCATAATCTTTTTAACATTTAATGAATATAAAATCAAAAGATTTGTCAGAAGAAATAATTAAATCAACTTTCTTAGCTAATAAAAGAAAAAAAAGAATAGAATATATCTGAATATAAACTTTAATGTTATCTAAAAGGCTTTATTTTATCACTTATGATAAAAAGAATGCTTCACATCTCAAATTTTAATGATATACTTTTCTTTGAGTTAAACTAATGCGAGAAGTAAAGTCGCTAAATCCTATAAAATTAAAATTACCGCATGTTTACCGAAATAATCCTTAAGATAGGTTATAAATATTTAAAAAAAAAAAGCAAGACGAGAAACTATTGATCAATAAATATAGAATTCTTATCAGTTTTGTAATACTTATTCCTTAAAATCTAAAACTGCTTTATCTATATAACTTCAAAATACTTTTTTTTTTTCTTTTCTAACTTGTTAGTTTTTATTAAACTTTTTATTGAACAATTTTAGCTTTTATTCACTTTTTTTTTTTTTCAATACAAAAACGCCAGATGAAATTACAGTGCATGTACTGGACCGCTTGAGCAATCACCATCACCATCTCCCTTCTTAGCATGCTTATACCGGAATTCTAACGATTTGCGTTACGCTTCACTTTCCTTTCCGTCACTCCATGCGGCATTCTCATCCTTTTCATGTACATTTGCTTCGGTAAGTCTACTACTACTAATTCCTTTCAGTGCAAAAAAGAAACAAACATTTTAAAATTCAACTATTAACATTAATACATAGTGAAAAAAGTCTCATATATAGTAGAAATCTCGAGTACTACTCTCGAATACTACTGTCATCTGGTCATGACATTTGCTTGTACAGTTGTTTTTTTTTTTTTCATAATTCTATACAAGCAAGCGCTTACATTATTAAAGTAATTGAATTTAAAAATTGAATTTGAGTATTTTCGCTCAATTATCTTTGTTAAATCCAATTAGTTTAATAATGAAAATAAGAAATGTAATATTAAAAGAGAAGAGAAGAGAGGAATAAAGTTAAATTTACAGTGTTATATTTATTGTATGATCAATCTACGTAGTGCACCTTTATTGCGACCATTTCTGATATTTGGTTTCATGGGTCTTACGCTAATTGATTCATTTTCACGAATCAATGGTTATAAGAATCATTGGAGAGATATTTGGGTCGGATGGTTGATCGGTTTTTTTATTGCTTTTTTCCTGGTAACTATTGAATTGACTCGTTTAAAATAAATTAAAAATTTTTCACCCTAACAAAATATTGAAATTTCATTTAAATTTCTTACAGATCATTTTTCATGTTACGACAAAATATTTTAATAGTTTTATTTGTAAAAATACAATTTCACGCAGTAAATTATTCATTCTTCAACACTTTTAAAATTTGTTTATTAAAGAAGGATTAGAATGAAGTTAATAGCAATATATTATTGTATCATTTTCAGTGTCATTCTGTTCTATGTTTCCAAGAACATTATTATTATGTAGTAGAAAAACCGATGACACTGGAGGAGCGCATTAGTCCATTCTTCCAATGGTTCAGGTTACCACGTATAAGAGCGCCTTCTTTAAAGGAGGAATACACGTAAGTTTGATATCATTTCTTACAGAATAATATAGAAAAAAAAACATTTACTTGTTTATTTCAAAAAAAAAAAAACTCAAAAATCTATTTCAAAATCAATTATTTAGCACTATTGATTATCACAATGCAATTATCTTTAAGTAATAGAGAAAATAATAGAAGGAAATAATTTTAAATTAATTTTCAATGACAGGGTCTACGAAGAGGACATTCCACAACCAACAGTTTCAACAAATACTGCAGCACGTCATCGACGAAGTCATGATCGTACTTATGAAATTACAACAACAACTGAAAGTTTTCATCGTACTGTTTCTCCATCACAACAACAACAACAAAATGGTTACGGTGGTTATTGAATTTTCTGAAGTCCATTGAAAAGACCATTGTACATTTTTTTGTATCACTATAAAATATTGCTCAATTTTTGTGAACAGAAAAGAAAGGTTAAGCAGATTTTTCATTCAGAAATTCTACTACATTTTTGAGATTAAGATAGTTAATTAGAAGTGAATTTCATGTTATCATACTTTATAGAAATTTATAAAACATTTAAAGATTTTTTTAAATAGTGGCAGATCAGTGATATTCATTTGAAATAAAACAAAATGACTCAACCAGTAAGTAAAAAAAAAAAGTGAAGTATTTTATAAAGTATGATAACATGAATAGAAATGTATAGATAGATAATTTTATCACTGTAACTCGTAGTGATTAAATGATCACCTGGAATAATCATAGAATACAAAATTTTCTCGACATTTACCACCCTAGTGCAAATGATGATAATATCAGCATTGATATCACTATTTTAAGATGAAATAAATTTTTTTTATAGCACTTTGATCACAATTATTAAGAGCGATCATTATATAATTCATTTTTATTTCTTCATAAATGAAAAGATAAAAGTGACCTAACAGAACTGAACTAATTATTGTGAATAAAAATTAGAAAATATTGAAAGATATACCGTTGTTGTTAGCTAAGTTTGTAGATTTGTAGATTATGCCATAAATCTAACTAACAGATAACTTAGAAATTTTCTCTAATAATCTTAATGAAATTCCTTACTTTAACAATATAAGTAGCTATGAGACTTTTAAAATGATGCTATCAGTGTTATAAATATTAATTTTCAACAGATAACATCTCATGCAACAATATTCGAAATGATTTAGCTGAGATAATTACATGTGAGTGTAAAATTATTCACATAATAAATAGATGCTAAAAAAAAAATAAGAAAATAAACGCAAAATTGCAACTCGAAACATACTAAGAGCATTTCTTTTAAATGTAGTTATCTGAATAAAGATGACAACATCTTTACCTGCAATTATTAGAAATTTAGCATTTGTCACTTTTTGTTGTCACCTGTTTATGATAAAATCAAGTATCTTTACAGTAATATTTGTTCATGAAAATAACAAAATTAAATAATATATCAGTATCTTTTAATAATATATATTCCTATAAAAATATAATCAAGTTGACTAAAAAGATCTTTAATCCAAAAAAGTTTTCAATCAAAAAAAAGGAAAGAAAAAATTATTTTTTTTTGATTTGGTGAAAATATTGTTCATTAATATGTTTCATTTTATCATCCTAATATTAAAAAGATACCGCAAGCTAACTTTTTTTAATATATGCAACAAAAATATAATCGTTATTATTAAATTAGCATCTTTAGGGATTATTTTTTACCTGAATTACCTATACTTTAGGCCATAATTAGTCGAATTGCTATCTTTAAGTGCCAGTGAAACATGGCTTATCCTAAGCAATTATAATAATATATGTTAAATTTCACATGCATATTTTTATAAAGGTAATCCGTTTGAAAAATGAAAACTTTCTGAGACATTGTATTCTTTTTTTTTTCACTACATTATTTTTTGAAAACAAATAATTCTTTAAACAAATATTCAGAATAAATTTGGACCCAAAAGTAAACAATGATATTTGCATCACAATTATAAAAGTTCGATGCTTATCTTACTAAGCAAGATAAAGAAAAAGTGCTTTCTGCAACTCTTGAAATAGCTATTTAAAAAGATTTCAAGTAAATAGGAATGATATTATCATTTCTTTCAATTGTATTTTCCAAATATAATTTTGATAACAATAAATGTATTCACTCACAATATAAGGCGAATAAATCTTTTGAAAAGATAATCAGTGTTTTTCTCAAATTTGTAAACTAAAATAACAAAAAAAAAAGAAGGAAAAAAAGCAAACAAACCTATGAATAATTTGTTGGAAAAATTTGTGACTAAATGGAAAAAATCCTCGAGCAAATGCATGTCGTATACGACTACTCATAGAACAAAAAAGACCAAATGTAACGCAAGAATTGAGCAATGAAAGGATGTCAAATAAATCTCCCAGTAATTCAGATCCTGCGAAACTTGCATACTGCATCGATGATAAAACCAAAATAATACCTTGTGGTACTTCCACAATCACAAAATTTACCATAATTATCTAAAAAAAAAAAGTATTCCTTCAATTGATAATCTTTAATTAACGATAATTCATTTAATTGCTTAGCTACTTTCATCTAATTTTTCAATATTCCTCTGGTCTTCTCTTCTTTAGCTAAAAGATATTTGCGACAATCTCAAAAATTATTCAACATAAAGAATTGCGCATTTCGTAGAGAATTCATTTGAAAAGCCAAATTAATCAGTCTAGATCGTCATCAGTATGTCTCCCTCATTTGCTTTTTACTTTTTTATTTTTTAATAATTTTGATACTGTATTTCGAATGATCGATTGATATGAATTTATAAATATTGAAAAAAATTGGTTAGCTTTTCACAAATTTCATCTTTTAACCAAATTCAATTTCTTTATTATTTCTTATTTGTTCCACCTAGTCATCGTCGCCAGACACTTTCACACTTTCTTTTTTGAAAAAAAAAAAATGCTTATTCTTCTTTACCTACAAATAGCAAAACTTCATTTTGAAAATTGAGAAATTTCATGGATGTAATGAATTCAGTCATCAATTCTGGATAACTACTTATTATTTTTATTTTTCAAATATTTTTAGCTGTTTAGATTTGTAAAATATGAAGTACTAGAAAATTTTTCATGAAATTTCCACAAATTTTGAATCGCAACATTACTGTGCTTAAACAAAATTTAGAACTTTTCATTAAAAAAAAAAGAAAAAGTGGCATAATTTATTTCTTTTAAATTTAAAATGTAAGTTTGGATATTTTACACATAATAATAATATAAAGATTTTTGCATACCATAATGATATATGTTATACATCGACGTCTTTTTTCACGTATCGGTGATGTAAACCTGATTGATAATAACTGGATCTGACGTAATTTTTGCACCAATAGCACAGTCATTACAATCATGACAATACATGGGATAAATTTGCATATAATGCCTAGAAGCCAGAAGTTTATTCGTCCAAGAGCAGTACTACTGGCCAAATTAGTGAAGCTAATCTCATGTACCGAAAGATTGCTCTTAGACGAAGACTGCACTGAACATTTCCAATGCGATGCCACCTTACGAACTTCGGAATTGAAAAAAAATGGAATACACAGCAAAACAGCACCGATGTTAATTAGCATTATGATACGTAAACATTTCTGCAAATTTCTTCTTATTTTTCAAAAAATTATTTGTCACTCTTTTAAGCTAAAAATGCTTCCTCCCCCCTCCCCTGCCTCCAAAAAAAGGATTACTCTTTATTTATGAAAGAAAAGAAGCAATGCTTTTAATGTTGATTCTCGAGAATAGATCCTGTTTAAAAATAAAATTTCCAAAAATTCTTTTGAGAAACTAACAGTGTAACTAAACCAAAGTTTAGTGATTTTTGTTTTGAAGAGTTGATTCAATGATATAAAACGAATAACTGATAATGTAATGATATGAAAAACACCGCTCATATAAACCACTACCGATGCATTCACCGATACCTAAAATTGTTAATGGAAAGACATTAAGAAATTTATATCAAATTTCTCAATTTCAAATCTTTGCACTTATCACCAGGAAGAAAATACGTTTCTAAAGGCTGTAATTATTATCAGATTTTATAAATTTTTCAGGAAATTTTGTAAATAGTTTTGTAATATGATAACGTCATATAACACTATATACTACTTTCAAGCTTGATTTGAACTTCAATTGCACTTAAAAGATATTCTAAAAAGCGAATTCTTTAAAAAAAAAAGCATTTCCTTTTTCATGAAATATATCCAATTCAATAACCCAAATTTAAATTTGGTTCAGTTCATTTAATTTCTCAATTTGTTATGATTATTTTGCATAATATGAAGTTGTTTATTTAGTATCATTCGAATACTAAATGAAATTTGATGCTAAATTTCTACTTGAAATTTATTAGATCAACTTTTTTGGTTTGAAAAAAATTCTCTTCATTCCTGGCTCATTGACGATGAAGCAAAAAAATTTTTTGAATTTAATTTTTAAAATTTCCTTGCATCAACCAACATAAAAAAAAAAAAACATACCAACAACGTAGAAACCCATGCATAAGACCAAAGTTGTGATATGCAACATACATCACTAAGATATTTGAATAAACTGGAGTAGAAGAAATTCGCACATAATGCAACTTGAGTACTTAAAAAAAGAAAATCTTAAATCTAAATTCAAAATCAAAAATCAAAATATAAAATTAATTTTTTTCAGCTACAATAAAACTTTGCTTAAGCTTTTTCTATCTTTTAAAGGTGGAAAAAAATATTTTTCAACAAATAACAATTGTCTTTAAAAAATTATAGTTCATATAGTCAGATTTCAAAACTTTCATAAAACCAACATTACTTGAATATTATAAAACTTATAGAATAAGTACTTCAATTCTAACTTATATCCATTAATTTACAGGGTTAATTAAAATTTGAAAACATACTGATATTATACAAATAACTATATATAGACAGAAACTTCTAATATTAAAAATTTGGATGAAATCTTAAAAAGTGACATAATGTTAAATAGTAATGTGAGAAATGTGTTTCCATCAATTTTATTTGTCGGAAATAATCAATTTATATATTAAAAGTAATCATTAATTAGTGATTTATCAGTTAAAAGTTTTCATTTTCAATTATAGAAATGTGAATAATCATATTGGAAGTAACTGTTTGCTTCCAAATTCTAAAATATTTCAATAACTCAAAGTTTATTCAAAAAAAAAAAAAAAAAAATGAGGTAATTAATAAATTATAATAAGGAAGTATATAAATAAGATTGTAAGAGATAATAGGTCAATTATATTTTATTATTTTTAATCTAAAAAAAAAGATTTTATTCTAATTCTATTAAAAAAATCAAAATTTAAATGCAAAATTTAAAAAAAGAAATAAAGCAACTAGGTAGAATATTAATTTAAAATAATAATTAAACATTAATTTGTAATATTAATTTGCAATTTAGTTGTGATTAAAATAATAATATATTATTTATTTACATTCTGTTAAAGAAGAATTCATATTTTCATTTCAACTATAAAAGAATTTAATTTATCACAAGGATAAATGCATTCCAGAAAGACAGAGTGTAAATTATTTTCACTCATAGATCATATCTGATTGATAAAAATTTTTTTGCACAATTTTTTGATTTTTCTAACTGTACAATCTTTTGACATAATCATTTCAATGTGATTATATGACCTTTCTAAAGCAGTCTTTCAAGAATAAATGAGGTCATTTAATGCACTTTATTTATTAGTTAAATAATTGATAGATTGAAAAGAATGTTGAATATTGTTTTTTTTTTTTTACTGTATGTATAAAGCTGAGCTAAAACTCAAAACTTTTTGTTAGGTTTGATAATTGGAATGGTTGAAAAAAGATTTAAAAAATTTCCATCTTAGTCTTCTAAAATAAGACTTCATCTTTGATAAGTCTATGTTACATTTTAGTTTACTTACTCCTAATTATCAAGGGGAATTAAAATTCCATGTTATTAAATTTCTTATATTAGTAAATTTATGTTGATATTAATTAATGAACAATAAAAATACTATTCATATGATTAATAAAGCAATCATTAACAAATCTAACTTATACTTCGAATTTTAATTCATGAAGTTTTTCAGTACTTTTCATTGATATTATGTATTTCTTTTATGTATACCAAAGGGAAAATAGGAATTTTTTTTTTTTTTAAGTCAATTTTAGAAAAACAAAATTTTCTGTTTCACTGCATTCTTTCTATTTCCTTTCTTTTCGTTTCCTTTATGGATAAAGTTGACAATCTAATTAAAAATTAATCCTTCAAGTCACCTAAGTATAAAAAAAAAGAAAAAAAAATACTGAAAATAAGCTAAAATAAAATGATCGGTGTTAACATCAGTGGTATCTGAAATCAAACGATTATTTAACCTAAAACTACTTTTCATAAAAGGTTTCTTGTTTTTTTTTATTTTTTCTTTTTTAAAAATGAAAATATTAAGGAAACCAAACCAAGACATGCTAATCATGAATAAATTATTTGGATTAATCATTGAATAAAGTATATATATTGAAATGACATGTCCAGTAATGCCTGCAGTACAAAGTACCAAAATAATTGCTGTTTTAATGTGTACTGCTAATAATACTTCATCTTCTTCGGATGACATTTGATAAAATAAAGAGCGTAAGCGTAGTCAAATAACCAATCAAAGTTCTAAAACAAAAAAGAAAATAGTAGACTAAAAAAAAAAAAAAAAAAAAAAAAAAAAACAAAACAATTAATGTAATTTAAAGTTTTATTTTAAATTAAGAATTACCATAATAAAAAAGGATTAAAATGATCTTCTAAAGATGTAACATTAAAATTATTCGATGGATTAATAATGATTGTTTCAATTTTATAAATAACTAATAAAACTGAACAAAAATTTAAAGTAAAAGGTGAAATATTTATAGAGAGAGGGAGAGAGAGACAGAGAGAGAAAAAAAGTGCAATCGAGAAATAAAATATTTACTTAAGCCATAATATTTATTATACAATGTCTTCGAAGCAATGGAGTTAAATCTAACTTTGAGTATTAAAGCTCCAAAATTATAAATATCTTTTATACATTTTAAATATTTTATCCAAAGAAATAGACTATGAAGCAGTGCATCAAAGAACAAATCTTTAAATCGAATTACAGCCAAAAAATCATATGATGAGAGGAAAAGGTTCTAGTAATGACGAAAAAAGGGAAAAGTGAAGAGAAATAAAGTTTCAAATTAGATAAGAAAACAAAATTTTAAAAAAATTCGAGAATATAATCGAAGTTTGAAAGAACTGATGAAATTACAAAGTTTTGGATATAAACTTTATTTCGAAACTTATACAAAGTAATTCAAATAATGCAAATAATTCAATTCAAAGCAAAATCAGTTTCATTCCGAATAACTCGACGCATAAAAATTACACATTTCCAGAAAGGCTTCTCATGAAATGATCCGGTCGAGCTGAGCAATATAATCCAGAATGTCATACATAGATAAGATGAAAAAAATAAAATGCTCATCGAAAAGAATTTGTTACCCAATTTCATCCAATCAGAAATATCGAATAATCAAAAAAAAAAAAAATGAAAAAATAAATTTTGTGAAATATTAACAACTGAATCGAAAATTATTAATAAAGTTATCTTTACCTCAAGTACCGATTGCATTCATTCAGATATTTGCTAAAATCAATCATTCTAATATGATTTTATTAGAAAAATTTCAAATTATTTTGAAAAAATCTCCCCCAAAAATTAAAATATTTAAAAAATCCACATAAATTTTCTGAAAAAATTTATTAAAATGTATTGGAGTCATCTATAAAGTTATATCTTATTGAAGCACATAATGGGATGACAAATACGAGTAAAATCAACAAAAGCGAGCAAAATAATTGGTGAAATTAGTAGTAGTAAAGTTAACCTAAAATTAATCAACAATTTTATTAACTAGATCAAACAGAAAATTAAAACTAATCCGAATATCAAATAGAAAATTAAAACTAATCCAAATTTATATTTTAAACAAAAGAATCTTGCATAAATTTTACAAATTCAGAATTTATTCTGTTTTGGAAAAGAGAAAAGCAGCAAATTACAATTTACCTAACAAATAGAAACTATCTAAAAATTTTTTTTATCAACCAAAAATTTTGCAGCACATTTGAATTATTCAGGAATAGCAAAGGTTTGAAATAAATTAGCTAATTAGAATTGCAAGACTAAACAAGAATGAATGGAATGAAAAAATGAGGTGAATGGGTTAATGGTCATTATCTAGGCTTTCTTCATTTCTACACTATCTATCATATAAGCATGTTTATTTGTCAATATTATCCTTCAGGCGTTATAAAATTAAATAAAAATGTTAAGCTTCAATCTATCCAATTCTGTTTGCTCCATGTTTATGTGATGACTTTTTCTTCATTCAACTGGAAACAAAACCATTGCTGAAAATAGAGTTTCTTTTTTTTTTTTTTTTAAATAATTTTTCAACGATCATCTGCATTCTTCACAAATAATCACTCTATAAATTCTCGAATTCTTATCCGATAAAAATAAAATTGCTGGCTTTATCATATGTTCGAATAATTCCTTCAACAATGAAATAAATAATTGGTAAACCTTTCAGAAATGACTCTTCATCACTCTTACTTTGGCTATGAGATAATACAAATTTGTTCCATAACAAATAATCGTAAAGTGAGAGAACAATAAGTGAGAGAAGACAAAAATCAAAAACAAAAAAGTAGTTTATGTCCTCAGAATGATTTATTTTTAATGAGTAAAAAAGAAGCAAATAAGTGAATGACACTACTACTACTACCATCATTATGTGACTGAAAGTATTTCTTGGCTAATAGCTTCTAATTTTTTGAGGTTTCTCATAGATTCTTCTTCTCATAGATTACTATTTGTATGTAAGTTCTTATCAGTAATCAAAACACTGCATTGATAACTCATCCATCTTATCTCCAGTTTTAATGATCTATCTGTCATTGTTTTTGTTAATATCTGCACAAAATTATGGATGTTTAGGATGACGAAGTTTCATTGGAAATAATTTAAAAATGTTTGTTTTAATCGTAGCAAAACAGTGCTTTCTAGGATAAAAAAAAAGAGAAAATAAAAAATAAAATTTTTTCATTTTTCATATACTTTTAAAATGTTTTATTTAACTTAGTTCATCGTTTCTCTAAATTAAAAAAATTTCGTTGAAATATAAACAGAAGGAATTTTATTGTTTGAAATTTAATTAAGAAATTAAATTTTCACATAAAGATGTGCTAATTTAAAACCTCTTAAAAAATTTGAACTTACAGATCATAGTCTCGAATTATATAGTTCTTAAAGCAAATTTGACTTGAGAAGGAATCAATTTTTTCAAGCATAAAAATAAATGTGTCTGAAGCTATTGCTTTGGGAGAAATTCATAAAGCACTACTTTCTTTTTAATTTAATCCAAACATGAACGCAAATCCAAGTCTCAAAAAAAAAGGATTATAATTTTTTTTCTTCCACATAGCACAAAATTTTTCAATTTGATTTTTTTTTTTTTTTTAAAGTATTCATTATCCAAGTCAGAAAAAAGTATATCAATTTCACTTGCGAGAATAGTCTTCGAGAAGTTCATTAATGCTCACTTGGATATGGAATCGTAGTGGTTGCTATGGTGTCACTGCTATTTTGAGAAAAATTAAAGTAAATTGGAGAGAATGATCAGAATGGATTAGCAAAAAAGTAACAATAGTTTTAATTTCATTTGAAAAAAACAGAAAAAAAAAAAGTAAATTTTTCTATTTCATAAATCAACTTTTGCTTTGCATATTCAACAATCAGATTTAAATATTCTTTTAAAAATATCGTATAATTAAATCGCAAATCTATGTTACATCTTTTAAAGTTAATGAATTGATGATTTTTGATTTTTCCTTTAGTTTTTTTTTTTTTTTTTTTTTTTTATTTGCTATCGCTTCTTTACTTAATTCTTCGTCAAACAAATGTTTTGGAATAAATATTCGAAATAGATCACTCACACAAATTGAAAAAAAGCAAAAAAAAAAAAAAAATGAAGGAAAGTGGTTAATATTAATAAACTATTACAGATTAACATATGAATCTATTTGTTCCAAGTCTAAAAAATCTTTAAAAAATGTTAGAAGAATTAATGAAAGAATAAAGTAATTCATTTCCATTGCACAAAAAGACTTATTCCCATACTGCAAATGAAATAATTCAACTGGTAGTGCAGAATGATTTTAAATTTCAGCTATTAAAATAGAATTCTTGAATGGCAAATTCTGCTTTATTAAAATTATCTAGCATCACTATCGCATAACTAAGATTAGTTGTTAGCATACCATATTTCCAGTATGCTTTTTTCGTCTAAGTTAACCAAACAGCAGCAGAATTTCAGACAATGTTAATTTGATAGGTTTTTTTTTTTTAAAAATGAAAAAAATTTAAAAATAAATAGCTATTGTCAATTTAATTTTATATTGAAATCAATTTTATAAATTAAATTAAGATTGGTTCATTATGAAAATCTTACAATTAGCATCATTTTTTTTTGTAATTTGAAAAGCGAAATAAATTTTATTCAGTTAAAACTGTATTCTTCCAGCTTAAAAATTTAAATCCCTCAAAAAAAAAAGTTGTTTTTTACATGCCACTTTCATTAACAAAAAAGAAAGTATAAATTGCATTACATCTGCTTGCTTTCATGATACTTTACAAAAAAAAAAAAACTTTGTAAATACAAATTAATAACATTATACAAAAAATTTCATTTGCATGTCATGTATTAATGAAAATTTTCAAAAATATTGCATTTAAGGTGGATAGAAAATGAAACAAAATTAAAATAATTAATGATTTATGATACTAAATTTTGAATATTCCATAAGCAAAGTATATGGGAGGAATTGTATGCTATCATTTATAATTTTATTATATTATTAGAATACAAAATTGAAATTTCATTATGAATGCTAAACCATAAATGTACACAATTGATTTATATATCAGTTTTTGAATAAATTTTATAACATTTATATCATTATTCCAAAACATTTGTTTGATGAAGAATTAAGTAAAGAAGCGATAGCAATTAAAAAAAAAAAAAAAACTAAAGGAAAAATCAAAAATCATCAATTCATTAACTTATACCACTAATAAATTAATGTAATAAATATAAATTATTGAAATTAGTTATTATCCTGTTCGATAAACGATAATATAATATTAAATATAAATAATGATAAAATTCGAATATAACGATAAAATAAAATTTCACTAAATGAAAAATTTTATTTAAAATTCACATTGAGAACAATTTGATCGATGAAGAAAAAAATGAAATTGAGGATCAGATTTAATTAACAGTAATACCATTTAAACTTCATAAAGTTGTTTGATGTTTGATTGCTACATATTTTGAAATATTTTAATGATAAATAAAATTTATTGTAGAAGCAAAAAAATCAATTAAATTTTGTAATCGAATTATTCGACAGACATAATAATAATTTTTCTATTTTTTTTACACATTATGCATTAACACTAAAAACTGCTAAAAATATTTTTTTTATTATAGCAATTTTTTATATTATATTGCATTTATAATAATAATATAATTTTATGAAATTTGAACAAAAAATCATTAATTGAAATGATCATGGCAATAAATGGGTTGAAATTGGATAATTTAAGAAATTTTAGAAAATAATTCGAGGAATTCTAATAAGAGAAACTACGATAAACTGTCATTAATTGATTCATAATCTTAAAATTTGTTCTTTCACTCAAATATACAAACTTTCATAAATCTGTTGCCTATGAATCTGTTGTAAATCAATGCCCAAATGTACAAAGTACATAGAAATTTTGGTCTAAAAGGCCTAAAATCAGAAATTATTTTAAAGGGTCACATGAACCAGTGTTATCACAATTTTAGAAGCCCAAATATAATATCGATAGTGAAATTAATTGAAAACAGTAGAATATAATGAGATGTTGCAGCATCGAAAGATTATTATAAAAGGACTGAATAGCGATTAATATTATTGGCCTTAAGGCTTACTTGAAATTTGCTGGAGGAGATATTGAGGCCACTGTTTGCAAAGAAGTGGCCATTAATGGATGAACTTATTGAGTAATTATGGTTAGATGTCACTTACTCATAAGCTAATGACCCATGGTTAACTTACCATCAATTTTTGGCAGATTGACTGGTCTGATCAAAATTATAATAATTGGAAATTATAAATTAGAACGAGAAAGAGAGCTGACTGAAAGAACGACAAAAGATTAACTGTAAGTTTAATTTGCGATTAAAACTGAGAATAAAAATGTTGAATTTAGTAAATTATTGTAATTTATTCAACCGAGCGATATTATAATTATCAATTGGTTGTGCAAAAATTGATAAACAAACGAATTGATTGTATTATAATTTGCATTTTATTAGAAACAAATAAGGCTTTCAATGCTTTTTCTTATTGAATGAAAATGTGTCAGAAAGGCTGGTATCAATTATAAATTTTAATATTTTTGCTTCACTTCAACACACACACTTGATCAAGGCATTACTCAATATTTCAAAATATTAATGGTCCAAAAGTTTGATGAGAGATCATCTATGATTATTTTATTTATACTTTATTTTCAAATTATTGCATTTTGAAAGAATGTTTTGCTATCACTGCAATGATACATAATTTCAATTAGTTGTAATCAGATTAAATCTTCCACAGAACTTAAAATGCAAAAAAGTAATAAGCGTTCTTATTTTGACCTTATTAAAGTAAAATCTAAAAATTACTCAATTTCTTATAAAAAGTTACAATGAGAAGTTCATTTGTTTTAGCTAAATAAATGAGTAAACGATTACTTTTGCATTACAGTGCAGTGTTTCACACAACAAGAGAATTGAATTTAAACTTCAATTGAAATTAATTAAATGAAAACAAATGAATGTTGGATTTTTAAAAATTCCTAAAGCACTATTTTCCTCCAAATAAGCGTCACTGATCAGATTTCAAAAATTAGTCAGATTCCTGCAAATTAACAAGTATTTTTGATTCTCGAAGATCCAAAACCAGTTTTTTCTATCCATTTCTCGGATTTTCGATGAATCGTTGATCTTCTATCACTCCATCCAATCTTTCTTTCCTTTCTTTTCCCTCATAACATGAAAAGGTTTGATAAATGCATCAGTAATCGCTTGTTTCTTTGTTTTATGAATTCCGGAAAAATCATATTAGACATCCTTGTTTTCAATATAAATAAAAGTTTTCTCAACCAAAAATCACTCTATTTATTTTGTAATTAAAACCTTTTCTCATAGGGCTATAAATAAACAGAAGGTCGCAACGATGTTATAACTTTTCAGAAAGATTTTTTTTTAAATTTACAAACTTGTCATTTACAATTTTCCCAAAAAAGCTGTAATTTCTTTTGGAGAATGATCTCTGGAAGTAAACTAAATACCTCATTTCAGATTATCGGTACCAATGCATCTTATTAGTTCTTTCCTATTGGTTATCTGTGCTGTTTTCATGATCCAAGTGAGTTCCTTGATGGATTGTTCTAAATTAGACGGAAATGACTTATGGCGACAGCACCACTTTTGTTTTCAGGCTTGTCCATCACAACAAGGAACACAAGGGCCAGACGGAAATGATGGCGAAAAAGGAGATAAGGGAGATCCAGGAGATCAAGGACCTAGAGGGAGGACAGGAGAGATGGGTGATCCAGGACCTCCAGGACCAATTGGTGTTCCAGGACCACGAGGACGGATGGGGCCGCAAGGTGAACAAGGAGAACGAGGATCAGTTGGACCAACTGGAGCACCAGCGCCAGGACGATAAAAGCATGTGTCCTTCTCGTTATGTCACCAAAATGAAATCTAACTGATTTTATGATTGAATGAAAAAAGAAATAAAATAATTCTCTTCCTTCACTGAGCAAAATTGCTTGTTTTATCTATTAAATAGCAGTCTTCGCCTTGAGATATTATTCAATTTTAAGTTAAAAATTCTCATTAATTTCCTAATTTCCGTTCTCAGATTGATAAAAAGCTGAATGAAGCTGAATGATATATTTACATCCCTGCATCAAATGTCAATCATGGGTAATTAGAGGTAGAAATTAATAAAATAAAAGGTGAAACATGGAATACTGAAATAAAATGAAAGGATCAGTTTGAAGTGAAACAAAGATATTAAAAGTTCATATTTGATTACTATCCTTCCGACATATTTTCTTCATTTATCTATCCAATAAGAAAAGCATTGAAGGCTTTATTTATTATTAATAAAATGCAGATTATAATACAATTAATTCGTTTGCTTACTTATTGAAATATGATTATAATATCAAATTATAATAACAAATTTACAATCGCAAAAACAGTCAAATTCAATTTATCATTAATTCATATAAGCTAAATCTTGCTTACCGCTTTATTTAGCTTGAGATATTATAAATTTCGGATGAAAATCGACAAAAGTAAAATGAATAATTTAAAATTTTGACAGAAATTGTCAAAAATATACATAAAAGATGGCTTTACAGATGATAGTTATCAAAAAAAAGTTTTGGTGAGAATGATTCGTGCGTCATTTCTTTGGTAGTGAAGCAAACAAGCAGTAAATTTTAATAAAGTTCTTTAATAATTTCAAATCTAATACATTCTTATGTCTTATCTTTATTGCTTAATTAATGCTTTAACTCTGAATGTTTATCAAGCAAAACAATTAGTGTAAAAGCAAAACAATTAGTGTAAAAGTTCAAAATTTTCAAAATTTGAATTTCAATTTAAATTTCAGATGAATAACAGAATATTCTATTTTTGAGTAAATTCCAATGAAAAAAAACTTTGCAAAATGATCTTTTCGTTTGAAATTCTGTTCAGAAACGACCAACATATCAGGTTTATGGATTTGGTGAGATGATGCGAAGAATACAAGCAAAATTTGCTGTTGCAAGCATGAAGTGCTCAAATTAGAAACGAAGGAGGACCAATTGACAATTTCCGTCCCTGAAAAATTTTTTTTTACCTTATTAAAGTGTTCTGCAGATGTTGTACTGATATCAGTCAGCACCATATTACTAAGATTGATTTCATTACCCACTATAATTTATCCTTTCAGTAAGATCACACTTTCTTCTTATTGACAACGAGTAATTTGATTTTTCACTATTATAGTCCCTTATACTACAATATCATTAATAAAGTTAAATTGATACAAGTAACAGATCAAAGTTATACAATTCGGAAAAGTCCTGAAATTCCTGAAGAACATCTACCTAATCTATAAATAACCAGTGTGAATCATAAAGTGAGTTTCCAAGTTATTCCGAAATCTCCGTTGATTTCCTATCATCCGATCTAATCTTCTTTCCGTTTCTTTTTTCCTTATCACATGAAAGGTTTCATTTAACTTTCATAAATGCGTCAATAATCATTTTGCCACATTTGATATGATCATTTCAGAGAGAAATGTTTCTTTGTTTTATGGATTCCGGAAAGATTCCTATCAGACATCCTTCTTCCCCGTATAAAAGAAGATTTCTCTTCGAATTTCGCTTCATTAAATTTCAATTAAATTTATAAAAACTTTTCCTGCATTGTAATTGTTCACATAGATTTGCCATATTCTAATTATTTGTTAAATAATTAAATCATTTAAATAAGTTAAAAATTCCCTCCATATATGATTTTTTTTTTTTTTTTTGAAGAATAATTTTCTGAAAGAATTAAAAATTGACAAATTGAAAAAAAAAAAAAAAAAAGAAATTTTCAGATTGTCAACACCAATGCATCTTTTCACTTCTTTATTACTGATTTTCTGCGCTATTTTCATGATTCAAGTAAGTTTTGTAATGGATTGTTCTTGAATTAGAAGCGCAATGATTTAATGTGACCCGCAAAAATAAAATTTTATTTTCAGGCTTGTCCACCTAAGGGAGAGAGAGGAGTTGCAGGAGAGAAGGGACCCCCAGGAGTGAAAGGAGTGAGAGGGCCTCAAGGAGAAATGGGACCACCTGGAAGAGAAGGCGATGTAGGATTGCCAGGTATGCCTGGACCGAGAGGACCGATGGGACCGCAGGGTGAGCGAGGAGTTGAAGGAGATCCAGGACCACCAGGGAGAGCTGCTGCTGGACGATGAAAGCACGAGACAATGGATTTTATTGGTGATAATAAAACAATTACTCAGTGTATCTTTTCTCGTATTTTTGGTTGTTTTTCCTTGCACAATCGTATCGTAAATATATTCCTCTGCCGTAGACCTTTTATCACATTCTATGCCTTAGTGGAATTTGTTTAAGAACAATGAAATCTAAAATTTGAATTTCATTAATATACCATTATAAATATCACCAAAAGTCGCATAGCGTTGCATTTTGTTCGACATAATCATTTCATAATGAATAGTAAATAATAAATAATGATGAATCCATTCTAACCATCTTTTCCGTATAAATGCGTGTAACAATTGATGTTCCGAATGATTTTATGTTGCAAAATTATGCAAGCAAAGTTGTTTTGCAGTTATCAACGCATTAAGTGTTTTGCTCTTCCTTTCCTCTCAATGCAGAAATAATATCGGCAAGTATTCAAAGTGATCTAGAATTGATTCAAGGTCGGACGTAGCTCAGAAATGACCACAGGATAACAATTCAGAAACCCCAAATATGATATCGATGATGAAATTAATTGAAAATAATGCAATAATACCTAAAACTTAAAAATTAAACAAATTAATGTTGCAGCATCAAAAGGTTATTGCAGAAGGGCTGAACAGCAATTGATATTATTAGCCTTAAGGCTTTAAGTGAAGAAGTTTGTTGAGGAGCAATTGAGATTATAGTTCAAGTCGAAAATGAATGCTGAATAAAGAAGGAAGGAAGTTTGTTAAAACTATAATAATTTTGACGATAATAATTCAACATGATATGAACTATGTAAGAGTGAAATATTGAATAGTTGTTTGGTTGTTTACAAGAATGATAAGACTATTGATTCTTTTATGGACAGACAAATTTTATTCAAGCTAAATTTAAATTTTCACTTTAAATGAATTGAGGTTCACTGTAAATTAGATCATTTAGCAAATTTATATTGCAATTGTACCAATAATCAATTTCAGATTTATTTGAAATATAATTTTTTTTTCTGTTCTCAGATAATTTTTTGTCGAAAATTAAACTTTTCTTAAACTATAATTTAATAATTATTGAATTGTCGCATACAGTTGAATCTTTTTTTTTTTTAATTTCAAATGAAAGTTAATTAAATTACTACAGTTAATTAGTAGAAAATGCATCGATAGATTAAGAGATAAAGATTACTGTGATTTTAAGCAGGAAATGATGAACAATGATAATGAAAAGATTATTTAGAATATAATGAATGACTGTAACGGTCAATTAAAGTTTAATGACGAAGTATGAAAATGAATGAAAGTAGGATACAGTAAAGTGAGATTTTTTAAAATAAAAATCGTTTAACCTCTTTTAATTAGAATTGATACTTCAAAAGTTTCTTATACGTTCATCCTCTGTTACTTGCTACTGTTGCTTATCGGTGAGGCGGAAATATGTTGTTTTCTTCTTCGTTAAATTTCAAAATCGTTTCAGAAAGTTTTTTTATTTCTTTACAATGGTAGCGAATATAATAAAGCATTTGTTTTTCAAAATTTAAATATCAAGTTCAAATCTTCATAAGCAGTTTCCGTTATGGCATGAATGAATGAGGTGATTAGAAACTAGCAATTTAGTGGCATAATGGGAAGAATATACTGACGATATATTGGTGCAAACAAAAACAACCAAAATAAGAGAACAGATATCACTGTGAGAGATAGCTTTATTGTCATCGCTAAATCCTTTTATCTTCCTGCTGCATCTAGTCCCCTCTGACCTTGTGGTCCTTCATCACCGGGTGGGCCTGTTGGCCCTTCCTCACCTTCCATTCCTGGCCGACCTCGAACTCCGGGATCTCCAATCAAGCCTTTCAATCCACTTTCTCCTTGAGCTCCTCGTGGTCCTTTCGGTCCTTTTGGTCCCTTATTTCCATCTCGTCCTGGAGGCCCTTGCTGTCCTTGCTGTCCTTGCGATGGGATACAGGCCTAAAAATAAAATTTACATCCTTTTTTAATGCAGTCTTTAAATGTGTCTTTTTGCACTAAGGGACAGTCTATTGAGAAAGCTTACTTGAATCACAAAAGCAGTGCAAATAATCAATAGGAAAGTACCGAAAAGATGCATTAGTACTGATAACCTGAAAATGTTTATATGAAAAACAGATGAAAATTTAAAATTTTTCTCATTCATAAATTTTTGATTCTTTCAAATTTGTAATAAGAGGAACACAGTGGAATGCGAACTGAAGTATTTAGATTTCTTCAAAACATTCTGCAATAGAAATATTGCGAGGATAAAAGCTTTCTATTGACTAATTATAATCAAAAAACGGAAAATAAAAATTTGCAATATTTTTGGAAATGTCGCATTAATTAAAAAATTTAAAGATTCTTGCTGAAAAATTACAATATCTGAGGAAAGATTTTAAGATACAACCTGAAATTTAATGGAGCAAAATTCAAAGAGAGATGCCTTATTTATACTAGGAAGAAGGATGTCTGATAGGAATCTTTCCGGAATTCATTTCACAAAGAAACATTTCTTTGTGAAATGAAAAGATCATATCGAAGGCAGCAAAATGCAACATTTAACGTATTTGTGAGTTAGACGGAAGTTTTTATATAATAAAGAAAAAAGAAGCAAAAGAAAGATTACATCAAATGGTAGAGGTTACCCAAAGATAGTTTATAGAAAATCCGAGAGTTTGGTGAGAAAGCAGATTTTGAGCCTTCAAGAAAGAGAAGTGATTTCGGATCTAGCCAATGCTAACTATATGCTGGTTAATTATCCTTCAGGAATTTCTGAAATTCCTTGAGTTCCAAACTTTGATCTGTATTCATTGTGGCACTTCAGCTAAAGTTCATATTCAATTTTCTGGCTAGGCGGAATAGTGCATTGCGAAGAAGGTTATCATGCAAAAATTTCTTCAATACTGAACAAAAACCAGCAAATCGAAGATACTTAGAATCTCCGAATTTTCGAAATGAACCTAAATTGAAAAAGAAAATTAACATTACTGAGAAGACTGTTTTTGACAATTTCTGTTACTGAAAAATTTTCTGTACTATATTAAAATGTTAGATATTGTCCTTTATCGGCCATCATTAAAATTAATTTCATTACTTAATACATTTAATTTTACCATCTGTTATGATTTGACCTTCTAGCAGGGTCGCACTTCCTTCTAACCGACAAAGGATAATTTGATTTTTCAATATTATGGTCCTTCACACTGCACTAATCGTTCTGCAAAGTTCAGCTTTCGATAAAAGTACCCAGATCAGAGAATTAGAGTTGAAACTAATTTATTACTAATCAAAATCAGTCTGATTTCCAAATCATCCCAGAATCTCAATAAACGTTAGTCTCCTATCATATTTGTCATATTAACCTTCCGTTTGTTTTCTCTTTATCACATAAAAGTTTCCGTTTAACTTTCATAGATAAGTCAATAATCGCATTTTTTACATCTAATATAATCATCTCACAATGAAATGTTTCTTTGTTATATGAATTCCGGAAGGATTCATATTAGCCATTCTTCTTCCTAGCATAAAGGAAGATTTCTCTCCAAATTTTTGCTTCATTAAATTTCAATTTGATTCATGAAATCTTTTCTTACATACCAGATTCTGGCTAGAATATCTATAATCCGATCAGTTGATCACAGTTTGCTGCTTACATTCAAATAAACTTTCCAAGCGGAATTTTTCAATTCTGATCTATCAATTATGATTTGCTATCAGGAATTAAATGCTGTAAATAATGATAATAATTTGTGTAACATTTTTATTAAAAGTAATCTTCTAAACCGAATAGTTTCTTCGGCATTTTCTCCCTTTTGTATTTTGCGAAGTATTAAAGAAATTTTTGGGAAATTTCTTTTTTCCTAAAAAAATCCTAAAAAATTTCATTTATGAAAGCAGTTAATTTTAGATTGATTATCTTTTCAGTAGAGATACAATTTTATAGGACATTCTTGTTGATTTTCAGCTCTCTTTTTGCGATCCAACTAGAGAGTTAATCCAAAATTACCTAATTATAAATCATTTCTAAACGAAAAGTTATATTTTAAGAAAACATCAAACTACCATATGTAAAGCATAAAGCATATGTAAATTTCTTCAGATGTGCAATTTATCTTAAATGAAAAAACATTCGAGTAAAGACACCAGGAGAAAATGGAATTGGTAGGAAAGAAGAATATCCTGGGCCAAGAATAATACGAAGGTCTTGAGGAATACCGGGACCTGTTAAAGAGTCAAGATGAAATGAAAATCAATGTGCTACCGCAAGGAGAACAAAGTTTCGAAGAACCGAAGGGAAAGCACAACTAACTTTTAGCAATAAAATATGGAATTTGTCACAGACAGTCAAAGAATTTTATCATCCATTCATAATATATATGTTTTCTTTTTTGGTTTTTTTCTGTTTTTTTGCATCAATCTATCGGCGGTGTGTTTTCATTATGCTATGAAATCGGTTAACCTGAAATATTAATCAGTACCGTAAGGAATTTGCTTGTGGAGGTTTTACATTTTATGCATCAAATGGTTTATTCAATCGTAACTTATCAACTTCAATGAAATTCCATGAATCAATCTTATAAATTGTTTCTTCAAGCAAATCAAAAACAAAAACACTTCAAAAATTTACTTTAACGCGTTCAATAGCTGATGCTTTGAACACTTTTAAGTAGCAAGCAAAGCTGTTTTGCAATTATCAACGCATTAAGTGTTTTGCTCTTCCTTTCCTCTCAATGCAGAAATAATATCGGCAAGTATTCAAAGTGATCTAGAATTGATTCAAGGTCGGACGTAGCTCAGAAATGACCACAGGATAACAATTCAGAAACCCCAAATATGATATCGATGATGAAATTAATTGAAAATAGTGTAATAATATCTGCAATAATATACAAAACTTAAAAATTAAACAAATTAATGAGATGTTGCAACATCGGAGATTATTATAAAAGGACTGAATAGCAATTAATATTATTGGCCTTAAGGCTTACTTGAAATTTGCTGGAGGAGATATTGAGGCCACTGTTTGCAAAGAAGTGGCCATTAATGGATGAACTTATTGAGTAATTATGGTTAGATGTCACTTACTCATAAGCTAATGACCCATGGTTAACTTACCATCAATTTTTGGCAGATTGACTGGTCTGATCAAAATTATAATAATTGGAAATTATAAATTAGAACGAGAAAGAGAGCTGACTGAAAGAACGACAAAAGATTAACTGTAAGTTTAATTTGCGATTAAAACTGAGAATAAAAATGTTGAATTTAGTAAATTATTGTAATTTATTCAACCGAGCGATATTATAATTATCAATTGGTTGTGCAAAAATTGATAAACAAACGAATTGATTGTATTATAATTTGCATTTTATTAGAAACAAATAAGGCTTTCAATGCTTTTTCTTATTGAATGAAAATGTATCAGAAAGACTGCAATCAAATATAAATTTTAATATTTCTCCATTTCGAACTGATTCTCTCAGTTTAGTCCACTATTTTATGTTCTCTTTTCACTTCATTAATTTCTACCTATAATTGACGTAGGTATTTTAATTTATGCTCCAAGTGGGAATGTGAATACGTCTCTTTTGTTTTACTCAGTTTTCCGTTCGCTGAGGGACGGAGATTTTAACCAAATTTTCGATTCCTCCGAATATGCAATTTCCACAATATGTTTCCATTTTTCTACTTTACTAGAATAGCACTGTGTACAGCGCAGGATGTGAAATATTTATTTCATCTTTTGCTCAGTTTAAAAATTGACCAAATTTCAGGAAGTTTTCACTAAACAGTGACAGCGATAAAGTTACAAAGCATTTGTTCCATGCCAATTTCAGATTCCAACTCGAATAAGTAAATTCCGTTAAGGTGCGGATTATAGTTTTAGGTTTAAGAATTTTGTTAAATAATAAGAGGGGCACATTTACGATAGTTGGTGCAAACAAAAATAACCAAAATACAACAGATTATCACTGAAAGAAACTCTCCATTTGTGGTCTGCTACCTTTATCTCCCTCCTGCTGCTCCTTCTGCCCCTTGTGGTCCTAAAGAACCTTTCATTCCTGGCGGCCCCACAATTCCTTTTGGACCTGGAGGACCCTCTTGCCCTCGCGGCCCCTGCATCCCGCGATTTCCTTTCGGACCAGGATCACCTTTAGGTCCTGGGTCTCCTGGACTTCCATCAATTCCATCTTCTCCTTGCTCTCCTACCAGTGATCCCACCGCTCCCGTCCCCGGGGTTGGTGATGGACCGCACGCCTGAAACAAAATTCGATAAATCGCAATTTGCGTTAAAATATAATCTTTTATTAAAAACATTACAAAACTCACTTGAATCATGAAAATAGCGCAGAAAATCAGTAATAAAGAAGTGAAAAGATGCATTGGTGTTGACAATCTGAAAATTTCTTTTTTTTTTTTTTTTTTCAATTTGTCAATTTTTAATTCTTTCAGAAAATTATTCTTCAAAAAAAAAAAAAAAAAATCATATATGGAGGGAATTTTTAACTTATTTAAATGATTTAATTATTTAACAAATAATTAGAATATGGCAAATCTATGTGAACAATTACAATGCAGGAAAAGTTTTTATAAATTTAATTGAAATTTAATGAAGCGAAATTCGAAGAGAAATCTTCTTTTATACGGGGAAGAAGGATGTCTGATAGGAATCTTTCCGGAATCCATAAAACAAAGAAACATTTCTCTCTGAAATGATCATATCAAATGTGGCAAAATGATTATTGACGCATTTATGAAAGTTAAATGAAACCTTTCATGTGATAAGGAAAAAAGAAACGGAAAGAAGATTAGATCGGATGATAGGAAATCAACGGAGATTTCGGAATAACTTGGAAACTCACTTTATGATTCACACTGGTTATTTATAGATTAGGTAGATGTTCTTCAGGAATTTCAGGACTTTTCCGAATTGTATAACTTTGATCTGTTACTTGTATCAATTTAACTTTATTAATGATATTGTAGTATAAGGGACTATAATAGTGAAAAATCAAATTACTCGTTGTCAATAAGAAGAAAGTGTGATCTTACTGAAAGGATAAATTATAGTGGGTAATGAAATCAATCTTAGTAATATGGTGCTGACTGATATCAGTACAACATCTGCAGAACACTTTAATAAGGTAAAAAAAAATTTTTCAGGGACGGAAATTGTCAATTGGTCCTCCTTCGTTTCTAATTTGAGCACTTCATGCTTGCAACAGCAAATTTTGCTTGTATTCTTCGCATCATCTCACCAAATCCATAAACCTGATATGTTGGTCGTTTCTGAACAGAATTTCAAACGAAAAGATCATTTTGCAAAGTTTTTTTTCATTGGAATTTACTCAAAAATAGAATATTCTGTTATTCATCTGAAATTTAAATTGAAATTCAAATTTTGAAAATTTTGAACTTTTACACTAATTGTTTTGCTTTTACACTAATTGTTTTGCTTGATAAACATTCAGAGTTAAAGCATTAATTAAGCAATAAAGATAAGACATAAGAATGTATTAGATTTGAAATTATTAAAGAACTTTATTAAAATTTACTGCTTGTTTGCTTCACTACCAAAGAAATGACGCACGAATCATTCTCACCAAAACTTTTTTTTGATAACTATCATCTGTAAAGCCATCTTTTATGTATATTTTTGACAATTTCTGTCAAAATTTTAAATTATTCATTTTACTTTTGTCGATTTTCATCCGAAATTTATAATATCTCAAGCTAAATAAAGCGGTAAGCAAGATTTAGCTTATATGAATTAATGATAAATTGAATTTGACTGTTTTTGCGATTGTAAATTTGTTATTATAATTTGATATTATAATCATATTTCAATAAGTAAGCAAACGAATTAATTGTATTATAATCTGCATTTTATTAATAATAAATAAAGCCTTCAATGCTTTTCTTATTGGATAGATAAATGAAGAAAATATGTCGGAAGGATAGTAATCAAATATGAACTTTTAATATCTTTGTTTCACTTCAAACTGATCCTTTCATTTTATTTCAGTATTCCATGTTTCACCTTTTATTTTATTAATTTCTACCTCTAATTACCCATGATTGACATTTGATGCAGGGATGTAAATATATCATTCAGCTTCATTCAGCTTTTTATCAATCTGAGAACGGAAATTAGGAAATTAATGAGAATTTTTAACTTAAAATTGAATAATATCTCAAGGCGAAGACTGCTATTTAATAGATAAAACAAGCAATTTTGCTCAGTGAAGGAAGAGAATTATTTTATTTCTTTTTTCATTCAATCATAAAATCAGTTAGATTTCATTTTGGTGACATAACGAGAAGGACACATGCTTTTATCGTCCTGGCGCTGGTGCTCCAGTTGGTCCAACTGATCCTCGTTCTCCTTGTTCACCTTGCGGCCCCATCCGTCCTCGTGGTCCTGGAACACCAATTGGTCCTGGAGGTCCTGGATCACCCATCTCTCCTGTCCTCCCTCTAGGTCCTTGATCTCCTGGATCTCCCTTATCTCCTTTTTCGCCATCATTTCCGTCTGGCCCTTGTGTTCCTTGTTGTGATGGACAAGCCTGAAAACAAAAGTGGTGCTGTCGCCATAAGTCATTTCCGTCTAATTTAGAACAATCCATCAAGGAACTCACTTGGATCATGAAAACAGCACAGATAACCAATAGGAAAGAACTAATAAGATGCATTGGTACCGATAATCTGAAATGAGGTATTTAGTTTACTTCCAGAGATCATTCTCCAAAAGAAATTACAGCTTTTTTGGGAAAATTGTAAATGACAAGTTTGTAAATTTAAAAAAAAATCTTTCTGAAAAGTTATAACATCGTTGCGACCTTCTGTTTATTTATAGCCCTATGAGAAAAGGTTTTAATTACAAAATAAATAGAGTGATTTTTGGTTGAGAAAACTTTTATTTATATTGAAAACAAGGATGTCTAATATGATTTTTCCGGAATTCATAAAACAAAGAAACAAGCGATTACTGATGCATTTATCAAACCTTTTCATGTTATGAGGGAAAAGAAAGGAAAGAAAGATTGGATGGAGTGATAGAAGATCAACGATTCATCGAAAATCCGAGAAATGGATAGAAAAAACTGGTTTTGGATCTTCGAGAATCAAAAATACTTGTTAATTTGCAGGAATCTGACTAATTTTTGAAATCTGATCAGTGACGCTTATTTGGAGGAAAATAGTGCTTTAGGAATTTTTAAAAATCCAACATTCATTTGTTTTCATTTAATTAATTTCAATTGAAGTTTAAATTCAATTCTCTTGTTGTGTGAAACACTGCACTGTAATGCAAAAGTAATCGTTTACTCATTTATTTAGCTAAAACAAATGAACTTCTCATTGTAACTTTTTATAAGAAATTGAGTAATTTTTAGATTTTACTTTAATAAGGTCAAAATAAGAACGCTTATTACTTTTTTGCATTTTAAGTTCTGTGGAAGATTTAATCTGATTACAACTAATTGAAATTATGTATCATTGCAGTGATAGCAAAACATTCTTTCAAAATGCAATAATTTGAAACTTTTAAATTAAGTATAAATAAAATAATCGATTCTTAATTAATTGATTCTCAATTAATGTTTTAAGTAAGGTTTAGTAATGATATGAAAATGAGTTTTCAATAGCTACTAAGTAATGTACCAACAATCAATTTAAAAAAAAAAAAAACTCCTTAGTTCATAAAATTAATTTTTTTTCTCGCACATCTGATGATGTCATATTTCTCCAATTTCTTCAAAATTTTCTCTATAATTATTCAATTATGATTTTTTTTAGAAAGAAGGGATATTAAGGTTGAAGGTTTTACTTGTATAGAATTTTGTTGGAAATCATCTTCTAAAGAATCTTAAACATTTTTCTTTGTTTCTTCCATTTCTCTTGCATCTTACAGAATATGAAGTGATTGAAATTTTCAGAGTTTGAAAAGAAATTTAAAAAATTTCAACCATTTTGTTCATAGCCAATTTCAGGTTGTAGTATCAATACATCTTTGAAACACCAGCGCCAGGACGATAAAAGCATGTGTCCTTCTCGTTATGTCACCAAAATGAAATCTAACTGATTTTGTGATTGAATGAAAGAAGAAATAAAATAATTCTCTTTCTTACTGAGCAGAGCAGTATTACAGTCAGGCAGAAAAATGAATTGGCTGTATTAAATTTTGCATTTTATTAAAAACAAATAAGGTTTTCAATGCATTTCCGTTAGATAGGTATAAAGAAAAGATGCCGGAAAGTCTGTAATCAAATATAAACTTTTAATATTTGTCTTTCACTTCAAACTTACTCTCTCATTTTATTCCACTATTTCATGTCCTCTTTTCACTTCACTATTTTGCGTATAATTGACGTAGACTGTTTTAATTTACGTTCCACGAGAGAATATAGACAATATCCTTCTAATGATTATAGTATAGAGAAAATATTTTATTTAATCATCCACTCAGTTTCAATATCTGTGAAGTTGTCAAAATTTTTTATTACATGGTGATGATGGGGGCATAATAAAGCATTTGCTTCATGGAATTTAAATTTTAAACATTAAATGTTTACAATCAAATTCTGGCAATGGTATTGGTCAGATTTGAAGCCTAAAAGTTTCGTAGCGTAATGGGAAGATCACGTGTTCTACACATGGCTGTAAACAAAAACAAGAAAAATAAGCGAACAGGGATTCATAGTTTGCTACTTCATTTCTTGCTAATGTTTCTTTCATACCTTTGTTCCACGTTTTTATAGTCCTTTACCTGTCGCATTCTCTTCCATTCTTGAATGCCTCCAGTCTGAGGCACACCAGTTGCATTTTGCTTTCCTTTTTTGTTTATTATTTATTGCCACTCTGGCTGTCTTGGATTTACCTTCAATTTAACTTATCGTGTTAAATCTGAAGGTCTTGGGCTCCTCTACTGCCATCTGCCACAGAGTGTAAATAAAATATAAATGCAGTTAGAAGTATCGTTCAGCCATTTTTCTTTTCATTTAGAAACAATCCACTGAAACTTACTTGAATCAGAGAAAATGGTAAGCATCCAAAAAGAAAGTATTAAAAAGATGCATTGGTACTGATAATCTAAGTTTGCTCAATTTTTTTTCAGCTATTTAACTTTTCGTTCTTTCAAATGATCATTCATCAAAAATGCAAGAAGTATCTGATTCCAACTTATTTATATTCCTTAATCATTTAAAATAAATGATAATTATTTATTAGAGTATAACAATCCAACTTGAACAATAAATAATATGTGAGGTAAAGTTTTATCCAGAAAGTAAGGATTGCAGATAAGAATGAAACACAGAAATCTTTTTTTGTCTTAGACGAAGGAATATCTGCAGGAATGTTTCCGGAATTCATAAAATTAAAAAACGTTTCTTTGTAGATTAATCGCATCGAATGCAGCAAAATGCAACATTAAGCGATTATTGACACATTTAAGAAAGTTAAATGGAACTTTCTACTCAATGTTGGATCGAATGGTGGAAGATCAACGATTGATTGAGAATTTGATAGATGGATGGAAGAATAGGTTCTTGAATCAGAACTGATTTGTTGATCTGGCAAATGCCAGCTATATGCCTCCTTCAGGAATTTCTGAAATTCCTCGAGTTGTCCAAATTTTAATCTGTAATCATTGTAGCACTTTAACTAAAATTCGTGTTCAATCTTTTGGATATATGGAAGGTGTACTGCAGAGAATGTTATCATAGTTTCTCGAAATTTTTAAAATAAACTTAAATTAAAAAAAAAAAAATCAACATTACTCAAAAAGATTTCGTCTTTGACAGTTCTGTCTTTGACAATTTCTGTTACTGAAAAAACTTTTTTTATTATTGATATGAAAAAACTTTTATATCAAAATGCTTTGTAGATTTTGCATTGACATCGATCATATCACCAAGACTGATTTCATTACCTCCAATTGATCTTATAATTTGACCTTCTAGCAGGATCACACTTCCTTGTAATCGACAAAAGATAATTCAGTTTTCACTATTATGGTTGAACTTTCGATGAAGGTAAACAGATTAGAGCTGAATAATTCGAAGATTTCAGAAACCCTCCAAGAACTTCTAATCTATAAGTAACTAAATTCCAAATCACTTCTGTTTCTCAAATGCTCAAAACCTGCTTTTCATTCTTCTCCTGGATTCATTGTCAATGAGTTATCTTTTATCACTCGATCTAATCTTCTCTCCTTTTCTTTTCTCTTTATCACATAAAAATTCCGTTTAACTTTCACAGGTACGGCAATAATCGCCTAATGTTTCATTTTCAGCATCTCATATAATCATCACACTAATAAATGTTTCTTTGTTTTGCGAATTCCGGAAAGATTCCTATCAGTCATCCTTCTTCTCAGTATAAATAAAAGATTTTGTTTTATTAAATTTCAATTTTTCGGCAAGAATCATTATATCCAAATCAATATTTTTTTCTTGTTTTTTCACATTTCTAAAAATATTATAAGTTCTGACTTCAAGCTTTTCGGCTATATTGAATTGTATTTTTCTTAAAAAAAGAGTATGAAAAAGTTAAGATTCCATCTGTGCAGAATTTTGTTGGAAATTTTTTTCTATAGGATCACAAATATTTTCCTTTGTTTCGTTTTATTCTCCTGCATCTTACAGAAAATGAAGTGATTGAAATTTTCAGAACTTAAAGGAAATTTAAAAACTTCAATCAAGCCAATTTCAGGTCGTGGTGCTAATGCATCCTTGCAGTATTATCCTCTTCATCGCCGTAGCTGTATTCGTAGTTCAAGTAAGTTCCTTAACTTAACACTGATCACAAATAAGAACGATTAGAACAAACCGGAACAGCATTAGGTAAGCATAATTTTTTATTTTTAGGCTTGCAACCCAACAGCAGGACCACCAGGACGACCTGGACGCAATGGACCTAGAGGAGAACCAGGACCTGAGGGAGATCAAGGAGAACCTGGAGATGAAGGTCCGCAGGGATTACCTGGGCATATTGGTCCGCCAGGAGAGGAAGGTGATAGAGGACCGCAAGGAGAAGTTGGTGACCAAGGACCGCTAGGTCTGAGAGGAATGAATAATAACGGATAAAGCAGAATATGGAATTTGTTAGTGATAACAAAAAAAATCATCCTCACGTATATCTTTTCTCTCATTTTATGCGTTTTTCTTTGCGTCACCATATGGTAACTATGCCTTTCCTACTATATCGCGAAATTCTTAAGTCAGAAATCACAATCGGTGCCTTAATGGAATTTATTTATGGAATTTGAAATTGAGATATCATGGAACAGATGCTTTTTAACTTTATCACTGTCATTGTTAATTAGTAAAAACTTCCTGAAATTTGGTCAATTTTTAAACTGAGCAAAAGATGAAAATAATATTTCACTTCATGCGCTGTACACAGTGCTATTAAAACAAAGGAACGTATTCACATTCCCACTTGGAGCATAAATTAAAATACCTACGTCAATTATAGGTAGAAATTAATGAAGTGAAAAGAGAACATAAAATAGTGGACTAAACTGAGAGAATCAGTTCGAAATGGAGAAATATTAAAATTTATATTTGATTGCAGTCTTTCTGATACATTTTCATTCAATAAGAAAAAGCATTGAAAGCCTTATTTGTTTCTAATAAAATGCAAATTATAATACAATCAATTCGTTTGTTTATCAATTTTTGCACAACCAATTGATAATTATAATATCGCTCGGTTGAATAAATTACAATAATTTACTAAATTCAACATTTTTATTCTCAGTTTTAATCGCAAATTAAACTTACAGTTAATCTTTTGTCGTTCTTTCAGTCAGCTCTCTTTCTCGTTCTAATTTATAATTTCCAATTATTATAATTTTGATCAGACCAGTCAATCTGCCAAAAATTGATGGTAAGTTAACCATGGGTCATTAGCTTATGAGTAAGTGACATCTAACCATAATTACTCAATAAGTTCATCCATTAATGGCCACTTCTTTGCAAACAGTGGCCTCAATATCTCCTCCAGCAAATTTCAAGTAAGCCTTAAGGCCAATAATATTAATTGCTATTCAGTCCTTTTATAATAATCTCCGATGTTGCAACATCTCATTAATTTGTTTAATTTTTAAGTTTTGTATATTATTGCAGATATTATTACACTATTTTCAATTAATTTCATCATCGATATCATATTTGGGGTTTCTGAATTGTTATCCTGTGGTCATTTCTGAGCTACGTCCGACCTTGAATCAATTCTAGATCACTTTGAATACTTGCCGATATTATTTCTGCATTGAGAGGAAAGGAAGAGCAAAACACTTAATGCGTTGATAATTGCAAAACAGCTTTGCTTGCTACTTAAAAGTGTTCAAAGCATCAGCTATTGAACGCGTTAAAGTAAATTTTTGAAGTGTTTTTGTTTTTGATTTGCTTGAAGAAACAATTTATAAGATTGATTCATGGAATTTCATTGAAGTTGATAAGTTACGATTGAATAAACCATTTGATGCATAAAATGTAAAACCTCCACAAGCAAATTCCTTACGGTACTGATTAATATTTCAGGTTAACCGATTTCATAGCATAATGAAAACACACCGCCGATAGATTGATGCAAAAAAACAGAAAAAAACCAAAAAAGAAAACATATATATTATGAATGGATGATAAAATTCTTTGACTGTCTGTGACAAATTCCATATTTTATTGCTAAAAGTTAGTTGTGCTTTCCCTTCGGTTCTTCGAAACTTTGTTCTCCTTGCGGTAGCACATTGATTTTCATTTCATCTTGACTCTTTAACAGGTCCCGGTATTCCTCAAGACCTTCGTATTATTCTTGGCCCAGGATATTCTTCTTTCCTACCAATTCCATTTTCTCCTGGTGTCTTTACTCGAATGTTTTTTCATTTAAGATAAATTGCACATCTGAAGAAATTTACATATGCTTTATGCTTTACATATGGTAGTTTGATGTTTTCTTAAAATATAACTTTTCGTTTAGAAATGATTTATAATTAGGTAATTTTGGATTAACTCTCTAGTTGGATCGCAAAAAGAGAGCTGAAAATCAACAAGAATGTCCTATAAAATTGTATCTCTACTGAAAAGATAATCAATCTAAAATTAACTGCTTTCATAAATGAAATTTTTTAGGATTTTTTTAGGAAAAAAGAAATTTCCCAAAAATTTCTTTAATACTTCGCAAAATACAAAAGGAAGAAAATGCCGAAGAAACCATTGGGTTTAATTAATTTCACCATAAATCTTATATTTGAGTTCCTAAAGTTGTGATAGCACTGGTTCACATTAGCTGTTCCTAATCGATTTTTTAACTGCTTTGTACATTTCGGCATTAATTTTCGTGTCCATTTCGGATTGGTTTGTACATTTGTAATATAATTTTGCCTTATTAATAGGGAAAAACTTTATTTGTACAAAATGAAAATATTTAACATTCATATTAAGCGCATTTAGTGTTTGAAAACATCCACTAAATTTAAATTTGGAATATAAATTAAAATTTTAATTCATAAAATATTATTAATAATAGTTGAAAATCTTCACAATAAAAAGGACGTAATTCAAAAATATAACAAAGCATTTGCTTTATAAAGTTCAAATTTCGATAATCAAAGTTTGTAAGCAATTTTCGTTAGCGGATCGAATACAACTTCAAACCTATGATTTTTTTGACATCGTAAGAAGGACACATTTACGATATACGTTGGTACAAAACAAACATAAATAATCAAAATAAGAGAAAAGATATCATTGAGAGGGATCGTTTTGCTGACATCCACAAATTCCATTTCCTGTTGCTTTTATACTCCAGCTGCCCCAGTTACTCCAACAAGTCCTGGTAAACCTTTTGGTCCCGGGAATCCTCGAGGCCCTGGTGGACCTGGATCACCCTCTTGGCCTTGTCTTCCTGGCATTCCAATATCTCCTGGTGGACCAACGGGGCCCACATCTCCTGGATCACCCACAGGTCCATCTCGTCCATCCTTTCCTGGCAGTCCTTGCTGTGTACCCATTAATGATGGACCGCAAGCCTCAAAATAAAATTAGCAAATAATTAGACTTCAAGCATAATTTTTTGACTTAAAAATAATCAATCAATTGTGGGAACTTACTTGAGCCATAAAAGCAGCACAGATAATCAATAAGAAAGAATTTATAAGATGCATTGATGTTGACAATCTGAAAATTTCTCCAATTTCTTTTCAATTACCTAACTTTTAGCTCTTTCAAAAAAAGATTATTCGAGAAAAAAATCTCACATTCTTCATTATTACATTCCTTAATTATTTAAATTACTTTCACTTAACTATTTAAATATATGATAGCCAGAACTACCTGAAAGATTAAAAAGACAAAAAAGGTTTTAATTCAAATTGAAATTTAATAGAGTAAAATTTAAAGAGAAATCCTTTATTTATACTGAGAAGAAGGATGACTGATAGGAATCTTTCCGGAATTCACAAAACAAAGAAACATTTATTAGTGTGATGATTATATGAGATGCTGAAAATGAAACATTAGGCGATTATTGCCGTACCTGTGAAAGTTAAACGGAATTTTTATGTGATAAAGAGAAAAGAAAAGGAGAGAAGATTAGATCGAGTGATAAAAGATAACTCATTGACAATGAATCCAGGAGAAGAATGAAAAGCAGGTTTTGAGCATTTGAGAAACAGAAGTGATTTGGAATTTAGTTACTTATAGATTAGAAGTTCTTGGAGGGTTTCTGAAATCTTCGAATTATTCAGCTCTAATCTGTTTACCTTCATCGAAAGTTCAACCATAATAGTGAAAACTGAATTATCTTTTGTCGATTACAAGGAAGTGTGATCCTGCTAGAAGGTCAAATTATAAGATCAATTGGAGGTAATGAAATCAGTCTTGGTGATATGATCGATGTCAATGCAAAATCTACAAAGCATTTTGATATAAAAGTTTTTTCATATCAATAATAAAAAAAGTTTTTTCAGTAACAGAAATTGTCAAAGACAGAACTGTCAAAGACGAAATCTTTTTGAGTAATGTTGATTTTTTTTTTTTTAATTTAAGTTTATTTTAAAAATTTCGAGAAACTATGATAACATTCTCTGCAGTACACCTTCCATATATCCAAAAGATTGAACACGAATTTTAGTTAAAGTGCTACAATGATTACAGATTAAAATTTGGACAACTCGAGGAATTTCAGAAATTCCTGAAGGAGGCATATAGCTGGCATTTGCCAGATCAACAAATCAGTTCTGATTCAAGAACCTATTCTTCCATCCATCTATCAAATTCTCAATCAATCGTTGATCTTCCACCATTCGATCCAACATTGAGTAGAAAGTTCCATTTAACTTTCTTAAATGTGTCAATAATCGCTTAATGTTGCATTTTGCTGCATTCGATGCGATTAATCTACAAAGAAACGTTTTTTAATTTTATGAATTCCGGAAACATTCCTGCAGATATTCCTTCGTCTAAGACAAAAAAAGATTTCTGTGTTTCATTCTTATCTGCAATCCTTACTTTCTGGATAAAACTTTACCTCACATATTATTTATTGTTCAAGTTGGATTGTTATACTCTAATAAATAATTATCATTTATTTTAAATGATTAAGGAATATAAATAAGTTGGAATCAGATACTTCTTGCATTTTTGATGAATGATCATTTGAAAGAACGAAAAGTTAAATAGCTGAAAAAAAATTGAGCAAACTTAGATTATCAGTACCAATGCATCTTTTTAATACTTTCTTTTTGGATGCTTACCATTTTCTCTGATTCAAGTAAGTTTCAGTGGATTGTTTCTAAATGAAAAGAAAAATGGCTGAACGATACTTCTAACTGCATTTATATTTTATTTACACTCTGTGGCAGATGGCAGTAGAGGAGCCCAAGACCTTCAGATTTAACACGATAAGTTAAATTGAAGGTAAATCCAAGACAGCCAGAGTGGCAATAAATAATAAACAAAAAAGGAAAGCAAAATGCAACTGGTGTGCCTCAGACTGGAGGCATTCAAGAATGGAAGAGAATGCGACAGGTAAAGGACTATAAAAACGTGGAACAAAGGTATGAAAGAAACATTAGCAAGAAATGAAGTAGCAAACTATGAATCCCTGTTCGCTTATTTTTCTTGTTTTTGTTTACAGCCATGTGTAGAACACGTGATCTTCCCATTACGCTACGAAACTTTTAGGCTTCAAATCTGACCAATACCATTGCCAGAATTTGATTGTAAACATTTAATGTTTAAAATTTAAATTCCATGAAGCAAATGCTTTATTATGCCCCCATCATCACCATGTAATAAAAAATTTTGACAACTTCACAGATATTGAAACTGAGTGGATGATTAAATAAAATATTTTCTCTATACTATAATCATTAGAAGGATATTGTCTATATTCTCTCGTGGAACGTAAATTAAAACAGTCTACGTCAATTATACGCAAAATAGTGAAGTGAAAAGAGGACATGAAATAGTGGAATAAAATGAGAGAGTAAGTTTGAAGTGAAAGACAAATATTAAAAGTTTATATTTGATTACAGACTTTCCGGCATCTTTTCTTTATACCTATCTAACGGAAATGCATTGAAAACCTTATTTGTTTTTAATAAAATGCAAAATTTAATACAGCCAATTCATTTTTCTGCCTGACTGTAATACTGCTCTGCTCAGTAAGAAAGAGAATTATTTTATTTCTTCTTTCATTCAATCACAAAATCAGTTAGATTTCATTTTGGTGACATAACGAGAAGGACACATGCTTTTATTTTCCTGCTCCAGCTGGTCCAACTGGTCCTCGTTCTCCTTGTACACCTTGTGGTCCGTCTTCGTGGTCCTGGAACACCTTCTTCGTGGTCCTGGAACACCAATTGGTCCTAGTGGTCCTAAATCATTCACTTTTTTATTGTCCTTCATTTCATTTTTGCAAATGTAATGACGGCTGATTACTTACGCATCTCTTTGTATTGACCGATGTAGTAAAAATTGGAATAATTGAAAAAAAAAATTGGGATAATTGAATAATCATAGCGAAAATTTTGAAGCGAGACATTAAAAAAAAATAACATCGGTTGTGCGAGAAAAGATTTTAATAAAATGCAAATTATAATACAACCAAATTGTTTGCCCGTTCATTAAATATATTAATTATAATATATAACTATAATAGTGCAATTTTGGCCTCAATTCTTTTTCAACAAATTTCTTCACTTTACTTAAGCCTTAAGGCCAATAATACTGATCATTACGTAATTTCCTTTTGGTAATGCAACATCCTTGCATATAGCCCATCTTCAACTATTTGCTCATTCGGATTGCATTGTAACGCTATCACAGCAGAACTGAAAAGGAGAGCTACTGGGCCACATCGTTTATAGAAGAAATTTGGCTTAGTCGCGAAACTTAAAATAATAAAATAAATTTGTATAAAATTTAATCACCTAAATTGTAAATAATTGTTAGCAATGCTATGAATCATCTAAGGAATTTCAGATTCCTCAGCTATTTCATTTCCTTTTGTTATCTTGATCTCCCGCTTTGATCTTATTATGATCCTTTTGCAGCATGTATCTATCATGTATGCAAATGAACATCTGGTGTAATGTCTTTTGTAGTGTCTATTCTAAGCTCCTGCAATGTCTCTTGAAAACTGTATATTGTCTATTTAATTCATTGTAAGTCTGTCATAAACCACTCCCAACTCTTGACATATATAAACCTAATAGTAAATCAGGATCTTCATCTTCTTCTTAAGGAAGGACCTCTGTTATGATCTTCTTCTGAAGGAAGTATCCCTGTCATGATTATTTTCTTCTTCTTGGAGGACAGTTAACTTATGGGACAAATGGAGGTTTCACTGTTAATCTCTTCTTCGACAAAAATTCAACTACAACTATGTGAGATTATACTTTCTCTGTGTTAGTATTTTTTATCCTAAATTTGTATTGCACTAATAAAGATTTTATAATCTTACTGCGACTTCACACGACGAAGCGTATCCGACACCAACGATTTTGCTTCCACAGACAGAATACCATCATTATTACTACATCTGTTGAAATGCTTATTCTACATTCATGTAAGCCTTTCAATTCCCTGTTTATTCTTAACCATCGACAAATCTCTCTCAAAAGAAATCCACGACAAAGATTGTCGTTGAAGAGAGATTGATGGGTTACAAAGGAAATACTTAAATACTTCTTATATAGTTGGCATACTCTACAAATTAATCAGACATAATTGTGTGTTTAGAAACATTTCGATATTGTGCATAAGTTTGCTTACAATTTATTCATATCATGATTTTAAATGAAACGATCGTTGATCTTAGGAATATTTAAATGAGACTGTAATCTACAAACATTGATCATATGAATATTCAAATAAGACTATGATTAGTTTCCACATTTTTATTTTATTGATTTAAGAAAAAAGAAAGTGTTTTCTACATATAATAAAACCACTATGGTTTTTCCAAAATAAATAATACACGAAGACATTTGATGAAATATTAACAGAAAGGATGAAATTCATGAAATTTCTTTTGATTGCTAATGCTAAATGCATATTTTATATTTAGTAAAAATTACATTAATATCATATTCTTACACACATAAATATTGGAATTTTTAACATTTTTTTTTTTTTTTTCATTTTCCTTTTTCTTTTTCATTATAGGAAGAAACAGCAATAATTAATAAAATGGCTGCAGCAAATTTAAATCTAAAAGAAGCAACGCCTGGTCATATATTTTGTCAAGCTTTCTCAATTTATTTATCATATCATATCATGTCATTTCATGTCTTATCTGACGGCATTTCATTTATTTCAATTCATTATTTGAATTGCTCATGGATACCAGAAAAGCAAATTTTATTTTGTTCATAAATCAAAACCATTTTCAACAAATAAATGTGATCAGTGAAAAATTCTGGAAATTAAGTGTTTATAATAAAAAGCTGTAACTACTATAAAATATATCTTAATTAAGTTAGGATATTTACTGAAATTTTTAATTTCATTATTTATTTTCCTCATTAAAAATTTATTTTTAGAAAGTATTTAATTATCAAATTGCTACAATTGATAGTGAACAGATACTTCAATTCAGTGTGATATATATAAAATTATTTCTCAATGAATTATTCAAAGACTGTGGAAAATTTTTGCACTAACCTAAAATAAAATGAGATTACTTATTCCAACAGTCATACAATTCTATTCTGTAATTAAATTAAAATTGAAAGTGTCCATAGTTCAGGCAGTTTTTATTTTTTTTTCTTTTGATTTGGTGTGATTTTAATTAAATAGCATAAAATATTATGTTTCATTTTCATTCATTCATTCTAAAAATATAATCTGAATGATGAAAATTAAAGCAAATCTATTTTGTTGTCATTAACAATATTAGCTTATGATAAAGTAGAACGAAAAATCCATCTTATCAGAGAACTCAAAATTTAAAACTTTAGTTTGCTGTATAGTGTAAAAGTCACTTTAATTTTTAGTTTTTTTCTGTAATTCTTTTTATTGATCCAATCTTTAAGTTTGTTCCTTTCCTATGGCAAATATTTTTAGATTATCAATTTTATTGATAAGGAAATTGTTAATCAATTATATCAGATATTTTGAGAATAAATTTCATCCAAGTTTAAGCTCGATGAATTTTATATGAAAAAAATATTCAAGTACTAATAAATTACACTTTTTCGTTATTTTACTACCGATTGCTTAAATGGTGCAAATATATTTTCTAATAGTTTTTTTACAATACGCTTAATTTCATGTAGGCATAGAAATTTTCGAAATTTCAAACCTTTTTAATTTCCTGAGCAAATGTTGATTTTATTTTACAAAATTTTTTTGTTCTTTTGTAACAAGTGATGTCATTTTTTTTTTTTTTTATCACAGTTATCATAAAAAATAAAAAATGCTTAAAATTTCAGCATCATTAACTTTAGTATATTTTGGAAATAGCTAATACTTTTTGCATTTTTTCTTAAAAACATTATGAATTAAAACTAATTACTGCTCTCTAATTGATCTGAATTGGCTTTTTTGTGAGTCGCTTTAATAAATTTTACATTTTTTACTATTTTCTGTAACGATTTTCACAGTTATTTTTCCTTTGAAATTTTAGTTTTTTTTTTTTGTTAACATTAGCTAACATATGGTTATCTTTGTATGGAATAGAATAGAATTTTAATGAATGTTTATTGTAAATTTCTATTCTTTTGCATATGTATGTTTAAAGAATAGGATATGATATTACCAAATTTAATCATTACTTTGTATTCTATTTTATAATTATTAATAAAAATTATCTCCAGATATCAGCTATTTCAGTATTACTCTACACTATTATAAGTATATTCAAATAAATCAAAGTTAAGAAAAAAATTTTTCAAACATCAATTGTTATCAAAATATTTGATTGTGTTGAGCTAAAATTCTTCCAAATAAAGACAAAATTTGCAGCATTATTTACTTATTGTAATCTTTTTTTTTTTGATTTTGTTTTATTGGCGTAAATGGTTGTAAGCAATTTTTATTAAAATAAGTATTTTCAAAGAAAAAAATTCAAAATTATCAATTGAACAGTATTGAAAGTGATAATAGAAAAGCATTAAAAGTTAAATTGAGCATTTCGATAGTAATTAAAAATACGCAAGAAGATTTCTTTGTTTTTTTATTTTCATTTATACAATAGTTTGATGAGATCAACAATTTTCATCCTATTAGCTTCTCTTTCGCTGCTACATTCCTCAAATTGCCATCATTTTCATCGCTTTTAAAATCTTTAAAACAACAAAAAAAATTTTTTTTTTACTTCAATTTAATAAAATATTTAATATGTTCAATGAAAACTTTAATCAATTTAAGTTATTCTCTATGTAATACAACTTTATATTTGGAAAAGTTTCATTTTATTACTGATTATAATGGATTTATAGTTATTACTAACGATAAATACTGTGTTAAATTGGAGAATATAAGAATTTTATGGAAGAAAATATGATGTGATCATGTTGGCAAAAAATATTATCAATATTTTAAAATTAATTTAAAGTAACTTCTGTTAGTCTATAGAAGCATATCAAAAATATAAAGAAAGATTAAACTGAAAAACTAATGAAACTAAATCTTAAATTCAAATCTTAAATTGAATTGATCAGAAAATTTGAAGGTGATTTGATCTAATACTCAAATATTTTTATTTTCCGTCTTTTTTTTAAATCTGTATTTAAAAAAAAAAATACAAACCTTTATTAACGAATCCAAATAAAAACAATGCAATTACATGACCAACAATCCAAACAATCAACAACGGTTTTAGCCATTTCCGACTGATTACTGATCGATTGATAGTATTATCACATTCCTCAAATTTGTCTATGTTTGTTGTTTTTTATTTGAGGATAATAAGGAAAAGGGAAATTTTTTGACACTCAATTAAAATCTAATTAATTTTTTTTTTTTTGTACTTTAATTCAAAGTAATTGAATTAATTAGATTAGATATGATATTCATTTATTTCGAATCATTTGATAGACAATAGAATATGTTTAGTGAACTGGTTTTATTTCACATTGTTATTCGATGGTATAATTTTGAATTTCAATTTTCAAATAGCTCTTAAAAGACAAGGAAAGCTCAATATCTGCAACATTTTTTCATTTTGCTTAAATTGCAGTATGAATAAGAAAAAAGTTAACTTTTTAAAAAAAGTTTTTTTTTTTTCTTTTGTTTTTAACTTATAACTATTTATTGTTTTAATCATTTTCTTCTATCATTATAATAGTTATCCGTTGTATAAAAATTAGAAAATAATTTTAAATTTTAAGCTTTTTCTGTGTGTGATTTTTAAATAGGCTTAAAAAAAGCTAATTTTGAAGCATTTGAAAACTTTAAAATTTCAAATTAAGAAGAAAAAAATTGGAAAAAAAAACATATATAA